CAATGAAGATTTGTTTGTAAACATATGAATATACCTCTGGATATCGATATATCTGTATGCATACTCTACGTAAGGGGAAGATGTATAAAAAAGCGCACACAGTATCTGGCAAACACACGCACAAACACATGAATTACGGCACCGGGATAATCCATTTTCTCACTGAAATCTTCATGATCATAAATGTTATTAATCGCAGTAAAATTCATGCAATGCACACGCGCGCACGTGCACGCACACGCACACACAAATGTGTGTGTGTGTGTGTCTGTGTGTGTGTGTGTGTGTGTGTGTGTGTGTGTGTGTGTGTGTGTGTGTGTGTGTGTGTGTGTGTGTGTGTGTGTGTGTGTGTGTGCGCGCGCGTGCGTGTGCATGTCTACGCGCTTAAGATTACCTTTTAAAAAAATATCGGCCAAATGAAGCAACATACTATCACAAACCCACAATGCTTCCTAGTCTGCGTGAGAAATGGCCCAAGAAGAGGAAGATAGATAGATAAAGAGAATGGGAGGGAGGGAGAGAGGGAGGGAGGGAGGGGGAGAGAGAGAGAGAGAGAGAGAGAGAGAGAGAGAGAGAGAGAGAGAGAGAGAGAGAGAGAGAGAGAGAATGAGAGAGAGAGAGAGAGAGAGAGAGAGAGAGAGAGAGAGAGAGAGAGAGAGAGAGAGAGAGAATGAGAGAGAATGAGACAGACAGAGAGATAAAGAGAGAGAGAATGAGACAGACAGAGAGATAGAGAGAGAGAGAGAATGAGAGAGAGAGAGAGAGAATGAGAGAGAGAGAGAGAATGAGAGAGAGAGAGAGAGAGAGAGAGAGAGAGAGAGAGAGAGAGAGAGAGAGAGAGAGAGAGAATGAGAGAGAGAGAGAGAGAGAGAGAGAGAGAGAGAGAGAGAGAGAGAGAGAGAGAGAATGAGAGAGAGAGAGAGAGAGAATGAGAGAGAGAGAGAGAGAGAGAGAGAGAGAGAGAGAGAGAGAGAGAGAGAGAGAGAGAGAGAGAGGGAGGGAGAGAGAGAGAGAGAGAGGGAGGGAGGGAGAGAGAGAGAGAGGGAGAGAGAGAATGAGAGAGAGAGAGGGAATGAGAGAGAGAGAGAATGAGAGAGAGCGAGAGCGAGAGAGAGAGAGAGAGAGACAGAATGAGAGAGAGAGAGACAGAATGAGAGAGAGAGAGACAGAATGAGAGAGAGAGAGAGAATGAGAGAGAGAGAGAGAGAATGAGAGAGAGAGAGAGAGAGAGAGAGAGAGAGAGAGAGAGAGAGAGAGAGAGAGAGAGAGAGAGAGAGAGAGAGAGAGAGAGAGAGAGTGAGAGAGGGGGGGGGGAGAGGAGCTTGACAACCAACATCCTGAGTCCTACACTTCTTATATTCATTCGCACATCCAAGCTTCCCGAGATTTCCTCATCGCAGACGAGCAGTAACGGCGAATCGACTGGCGCAGGAGAGAAGTAGAACAAGATTACATTTAACGGTGTTGTTTGAGGAACATTCGGCCGCCGGGTAGAAATGCGGAAACGCGCGTCCTATCAGGTGTTCGCGATTAGGCTGTTGCCTCGTTTGCTGTTCCTATGCGAATGGCGTGTATTTCCCGTCGTTAATGCATGGTCATAACCGCCACCTCCTGCTATAAATGAAAACCTCTATAATATCAACTTCTGCCTCATTGTTCCCACCCCAAGAAATATCGGGACCATAGCACGGCCGCTGTCACCTCTACAAGGTCACCCGAACCCACATCAGCCGTTCTTGCGACTTCCCGCTCCGGAACTCAGGCGGACCTTTGCACATCGATGGATAGGCATGCGTGGATGCGTGTGTGTTCTCCTGGTAATATTGGCTGAGAGTTATTGGAGAGCTAGTGATTTCCATTACTTTGTGCCCGGCGGTGGGCTTGTGAAACCCATTTAAGCGTCGTTCGGAAGGGCTGCGACCAATGATGAGGGAAATTTAGTCGACCTGTAACGCCACGCCACTTGGAAGACTTCCTCGCCTAGATCAGCATCGGCCAAGGTTGACGTACTCTTCTGCCTTGCATTTGCTTTTTCGCTAATTGGCATTATTTCCCCGTTAAGAATAATGAAGGGCACGGCTCGTCATCTACTTTTATCGCCTAGTAAGTATCTTGCAGCAGATCATTATGTACTGCATTTACATTGCCAATATTTCCTTCGTCAATCTTATTCAGCGATTCTATCCGATATTAGAATAATGCTGTTACCATCCAAATCTTTCAGCGCGAAACCGTACGAGTAAATCCCATAGAATTATGGTCCCGTTTGCCACATTTATCACGCGCTCTGGGATATCTTAAACCACCAATATTCCCTACTACATTCAGGAGAGAAATGTGTGTCAAGCAATTTACAAACCCATGATATAATAAGGTACAGGAAAAAGCATTCGTTACCTGGTGGTTGGTCCGAGGGGCGTGCGAGCTGCCGTAACTTTTCCTGAACTTATTCGCTCTTGCATTTAGGAACACTTTGTATTTCCTTGAGTCTCACAGAATCAGGCTCGCCAAAAGGCATTTCACAGTTGACCAATTCCTCTCACTTCCCAATATCACTTTGTGGGAAGTGGTTTCATAACTGGATCGGATCAGAACCACACTTGAGCCGATTTCGAGCTGGCCGTTTCTCCCGAGCCGCCCTCCTCAGCCGGTGGCCACAGTGACGTCTCGAAGGAACCCAACCCCTCGCTGACGTGTCCTGGTGCTGCCTCGGTACTCCGGAGAAGCACTGGTCCAGCCAAAGCTTATCTATTCCGACGTCCACATCCTCTGGCAACTTGTGACCCACCTGCTCGCCACGTACGTACACACTTCGTTCAGTCACTGATGTATTAAGGCAATACACTGTTACACACTGTCCGTTTCTCGTGGCGGAGAAGTTGGAAGGAGTACTTTCCTAATTGTCTTAGGCTTTCCGCTTCCCTAAGCACAGCCGAGCCCCTGCTTTCTGTGGCGACCCGGACGCTTCGCCAGACACTTCGCCTGGAAAGCTTGGTGTCTAGATTGTTCACTCGAGTCACTTCTGCAGTTTATCGCTGTCAACACTGAAGGAAATGAGTTTCGTCTCTATTGTCACGAGACGCTTGGAATTTCACTTTATTTACTCACTAAATATATGCTTCTGCCTCGCATACGTATAAACGGTTAAACTGTAGGCGCTCGCAGGACGTCTCAGCTGCTATTCAATGCCGCTAGGAGTGTTGCTGAGCACCGTTAGAACAAACTGTAAAATACCAAGACCGAGCGCAACGTTATGCGGTCCGAGCGGAGGAACAGCACTTCCTCACACCCCCGCGTCCACCGCCATACTGAGCCGCTCCACCGCCTGTCACTGTCAGCTGAGCTCCTCTCCCCCCGCCCCCCACCCAGCGCTCCGCATCACCTGCACGTTCCACAGCTTCTACAGTGTAGTCGCTGCCACGGTGCAGGTCGCACGCGCATCTCATGATGGCTGTCTGACCTCGCGGTACAGATGAAGTATCGCCTGTTGCCGAGTCGAAGATAGTGGTGGTGCGAGTGCAGTGGATGGGCGCTCGGTTTTATTGCTTCGGGATTCAATTATTTGTTTGTTTTCTCCCCGGTAAATATTGCATCGTTATTCCCCGATTCCTTCTAACATGCATACTAACATAAAAAACGAACACTATACATACCCAAAAGTGTGTGCATGAATGTTTATTTTTGTATCACTATTCCAACCAGCATGATTTTAATTTTTTTTCAATTGTAGCATATTAAATACCGACCACAAAAGTATACAGTTAAAACAAGAAAGGCACTCGCAATGAAATGCAGTTGCACTACATTTAAGTAATGAAGACTAATGGCATATACATGCCATTGTGGAGTACGAAACCCAGAACATAGTCATGTTGAGTATGACCACACAAGACGCAACGAAATGCAATGGGACGAAAGAAAAATAAGAAACGGATTGTTCACTCGAGTCACTTCTGCAGTTTATCGCTGTCAACACTGAAGGAAATGAGTTTCGTCTCTATTGTCACGAGACGCTTGGAATTTCACTTTATTTACTCACTAAATATATGCTTCTGCCTCGCATACGTATAAACGGTTAAACTGTAGGCGCTCGCAGGACGTCTCAGCTGCTATTCAATGCCGCTAGGAGTGTTGCTGAGCACCGTTAGAACAAACTGTAAAATACCAAGACCGAGCGCAACGTTATGCGGTCCGAGCGGAGGAACAGCACTTCCTCACACCCCCGCGTCCACCGCCATACTGAGCCGCTCCACCGCCTGTCACTGTCAGCTGAGCTCCTCTCCCCCCGCCCCCCACCCAGCGCTCCGCATCACCTGCACGTTCCACAGCTTCTACAGTGTAGTCGCTGCCACGGTGCAGGTCGCACGCGCATCTCATGATGGCTGTCTGACCTCGCGGTACAGATGAAGTATCGCCTGTTGCCGAGTCGAAGATAGTGGTGGTGCGAGTGCAGTGGATGGGCGCTCGGTTTTATTGCTTCGGGATTCAATTATTTGTTTGTTTTCTCCCCGGTAAATATTGCATCGTTATTCCCCGATTCCTTCTAACATGCATACTAACATAAAAAGCTCACAAAACGAACACTATACATACCCAAAAGTGTGTGCATGAATGTTTATTTTTGTATCACTATTCCAACCAGCATGATTTTCATTTTTTTTCAATTGTAGCATATTAAATACCGACCACAAAAGTATACAGTTAAAACAAGAAAGGCACTCGCAATGAAATGCAGTTGCACTACATTTAAGTAATGAAGACTAATGGCATATACATGCCATTGTGGAGTACGAAACCCAGAACATAGTCATGTTGAGTATGACCACACAAGACGCAACGAAATGCAATGGGACGAAAGAAAAATAAGAAACGGCGATGCTTGTGGAAGTGGTTCGTTTGTCTACCGATTTTAATTAATACATGTTCCTTCATCGCAAATTTCTCAATTCCTAACAATTCAAAAAGACATTGATCCACTCCTTACAGCAATGCATCCAACT